AGCTAAGGGCATACAAAACTGTCTAACAAGGTTTGAGTAAATTCCTTAGTAACAAGTTAAGCTTTGAACCATTCAATGCTGCCATCTTGACGATGTTTAACTATATAGACCCATCGACAACCAATTGGTTGCTTTGAGCATGAAATTCTTCATCAATCACCTTCTTTAAGGCAGGAGATAAGAGTGCTTCTTGTAGTGAACACGGTAGGGAAATGAAGGATAGAAGGGAAATGAACCATTGATGTGAAGGAGATAAGTGAGCAAAGGAGACATCGAGAAAGGGGGTGATTTGTGCAAGCACACTTACCCTTATGAAGAGCAATAGGTAGATCAAGATTTGAGGGTGGTGGATCTTTCAACGACATAGACTCTGGTGGTAGGTCAGAAGTAGGAGCTAGATCAACTGCTGGTGACAATTTTGGCTGTCGATCACGTTTGGAGTATATTGTGAATAGATGGTCGAAAAGGATCCTTCAAAATAGGCAAGGGAATCAAGACATCACTAGAGTCGGAGGGAAGAGGAATATAAAGAAAAGTTTCATGTCCACAAAAATAGGGTAAATTCTCAAAGAAGGTACCACCTGAAGCAACACAAGCTTTCTATAAAATAGGATCATAGCACTTGCAACCTTTTTGAGTATGAGAGTAACCAAGGAAAACACATCCTTGATAGCTCTAGGGTCAAGTTAATCATGACCTGGACTCAGTTTGTGAAACACACACAACCAAACACACGAGGAAGAGAGAGGGGAAATAGAGGGAAACAAGATAGAGAAAGGTGAGTTGCCATTTGGGACTGAAGAGGGCATGCGATTTATAAGAAAACAAGAGTGAGAACTGCATCACTCTGGTAGATTTTAGGGATTGACATTTGAATCAACAAGGCTTGAGTAGTTTCAATCACATGATGATTTTTCCTCTTGGCCACACCATTCTATTGAGGAGTATGTGAATAGGACTGATGTATATTGTGAGAGTCAAAATAAGACTGAAAACTATTATGAATGCATTCTTTGGCATTATCGGAACAAAACACTTTAATGCATACACCAAATTGGTTCCTTATTTCAGCATGAAAAAAATAGAAAAGTAGAGAACAATTTTGAACAATCATTCATTAAGTAAATCCATGTCATTCTTGAATAGTCATCAATAAATGTTACAAAATATCTAAATTCATTATAAGATGACACACGTCTAGGACCCTAAACATTTGAGTGGACTAAAGCAAAAGGACTCAGGACTCTCTTATCATCTCTAGGAACAAAAGACATTCTATGATGTTTGCTTAATTGATATGATTCACAATCTAGTTGAGTTACAGATTCCAAAGTCGGGACTTGGTTTTTCAAAACACACAGAGAAAGATGATTGAGACGACAATGCCATTGATGTGGTATAAGAGAGGAGTGAAGAGCCTTCTGAGGACCATGGTCATCCAGGTAGTACAGTCCTCCAACTTCACAACCACCATCAATTGTCTTCCCCATCTTGAGATCCTGAAAGACATAAGAAGGATAAAAGGTTACTGAACAATGAAGGTTTTGTGTAAGCTTATTTACAGACAAGAGACTAAAGGGAAACTTACGAACATAAAAAAAAACAAAGTGTAAACTAAGGTCAGAACCAAGAGACATTATCGGTACTAGTAATAGCAGAAGAAGAGCCATTAACTGAAGTAACCGTTTGGGATGTAGAAGGTGGTGACAAAGATACAAACATATTTGAGGAGCCAGTCATGTGGTCTGAGGCTCTAGAATTAATTACCTAGGATGAAGGAGTAGAACTAGAAGCAAGGCAAGAAATACTTGACTTTACCAGTGTAGTAGTGGCAGAACTGGAAGAAGCAGATTGGCAAAGCTTTTCATATTCCTCATGTGAGATAGAGATTGTGTCTTTATTCTTACCAACATTAGATGGAGCATCTTTAGGCACACTAAGACTCTCAAAGTCACCTTCCACCATTGCATGGTTAGCCAGGAATATGGAGGGCTATAAAGATCATAATAGAAGTTGACCGTGTGACCTTCTCGTCCACAATGTGAGCATTCACAAGATGAACCACAACCACCACCATACTCTCTACCACCTCCACATCCACCCCTGGGCCTACGACTAAAACCCCTCACACTACCTCCACCTCTACCACACATATTTCTACTAGGAAAATCTCCTCTAGAAACCACCATGGCTGATCTCTCTAAAGGTGGGGGATGATCACTTTGTGGATTTAAGGCTCTTCTTATGTGGGAGAAAACCTCGGACAAGGACGGAAGATCCCTGCTACCTAAGATTTGGGCCCACATTGGTTCAAATTCAGACCTCAACCTAGATAAAAACCTTGCAACATCTAGATATTCTCTTTGTTCTTGTTGAGTCTTCAAATCAATGGATAGGGGTTGATCAACATTAAGTTCATTCTTTAAGATTTTTAAGGAAGCATAATATTCTTCAACACTTTTATCCCCTTGTTGAAGAGAAAAATAGTCTTGGTATGACTGGTAAATTCTTGTGACATTGTCTTGTCCATAATACAATTTCTTGGCATGGTCCCAAATCTCCTTGGCCCTATCTAGAAACATAAGGTTCACACTAATATGATTCTCCATACTACCCTCAGGTTCCTTTTCTTGTAGCTCCTTTTTTTCAGTCCTTACTTAACTGAGTGAAAGCCAAGTGTTCTTCCCATCTAAGGAAATTTGGTGTAAACCTATTCCTCTCAAGGTGGGTGGTTTGTGCTGGGAAATGTATCTGGAAAGAATTAATACTTGTGAGCTATTACAAAGAAAAAGACCTAATTAGTGCCTTTCCCCTCATTGGTGCTCCTTATGCAAAGTTAATGGTGAGAATTGCTATCACTTACTAATTTCTTGCCCTTTTTATTCTTCAATTTGGGAATGGTTCTTTTTTTTTGTTTGGGTGCAGGTGGAACTCTCTCCCTAATGTAAGCCTATTCGCTTCCACATTCCTAAGCTTGTCAAAGAAGAGGGGAAAAATGCTTTGGAGATGCACAAGGGCAGCGATGTGTTGGACAATCTGGGAGGAGAAGAACCAAAGACTCTTCCGTGAAAATGCAAGAAGTAGAGATGCTGTCATCGAAGCTATCACCATCAAGGTAGTTAGGCCTATGTGGTCCCCACCCTCTTGTGGTTTCATTAAACTCAATTTTGATGGTAGCAATGAAGGCAGTCCAGGTCCATTTGGCATTGAAGGAGTTTTCAGAAATGAAGAAGGAAATATCGTTGCTCTCTTCTCAGGCCCAATTGGTGAAGGGTATTCTTTAAGACCTGGAATTAAGGCTGTTATGGAAGGGATCTAGAAGGCTAAAGAGCTGAATGTCAAGAAGTTGGTAATACAAGGTGATTTGAAGCTTGTAATTAGCTGGTTTCAAAAAAAGGAGGAAGATGGATGGTGGTGTTACATTTATGAAAAGAGAAAAGTTGTTAAATTGCTGCAAGGGGTAGAGGTGTCTTGTAAGTGGCTCAAAAGAGATGCAAATGCTATTGTTGATACACTTGCTAAACAAGGGGTGGGAAGGAATGACTTATTTTGGGCTGTTTTGTAATATTTCTATTGGGGAGGGTTAAGAGTGTTTATCCAGGTATTGTAGATCTTGAGATTTTGATAACTATGATATACTCTATTTGGTATTTTGAGAATTTTGTCAAGATCACTTTTTTAATCATTAGAGCTATGTGGACCAAAGTTATCCAGGTATTACTGCAATCTTAACTCCCTTGGCATGGTCCAGATAAATGTTTAATGGTTTATGTTTTTTTGACGATGTTCTACACAAACTATGAAGATTTTAATCATTTCAGTTTTGATATGGATTCTTGGTTTTGCAGGGCAGGGGAAGTAAGCGGAGTTTGATGTCTAAGTGAGTGTTAGTTTGCGAAGTTGACTCTTTGGTTTGGTTATTGTTTTGTCTTTATTTGCTGTATTTACATGCTCAATATAGCAATTATTCTTTGCTGTAGTAATGATGAAGAGGATGAGATAATTTTGAATGTGAAATGCCATTATACTCAAGCTGAAATAGATAAGTGTATTTTCAATCTTGGAGATTGTGCATATGTAAAGGTACCTCCTCCTTATTCTGTCGATTTCTATAGGGCATATAAATGTTTCGTACTATAACTTTGTTGTCTTTCCTTGTTTTTATTCTTATATTTCGGTTTTACAAAATATGAAATTTTGGTGTCCTATTAGAGAAGTGTACTTGCCCTATAGTTTTGCATTCGGGTCTGCCTTATCCATTTCTAATTCCTAAATTCGTACCTGTGGTTATTCTGTCAAGAAAATATTTTTAATATTATGATGGCACACATTCTTTTTTTTTGGAGCTATTACTATTGCCCTTTTGTTTAACTTCTTCCATTTATTTGTGAGATATGTGCTTGTCATACTGAATCCAGGTTGTGTGTTGCTGTTATAATTATTATGTTTCAAGTGCATTACATTATTTACTAGCAAATTTGTGCCGTCTCTAACTGTGTTATAGAAGATGATATGTGCATAAGGGGTATGATTGCACATTCAATCTGGCCAGTGATCATGACACAAGGCTGGAATCAATTATTTCCTTGATAAAAAATGCATATTGTGTCAGAACATATCTTATGATCCAGTTATTCATGTCACTTGAACATAAATTGTGAATAATATTACTTAAGTTGTCAGCATAGTTTAGTTCCCCTTCCCGCTATTTACCAATGTTGCTGATGGCATATGCACTTGCAAGACAGGGTGCTAACAGCAATCAATTATATTGGGGGACAACTCAGAGAAATAGAATACTTAACCCAACTAGTTCTTGTCTCAACTATATGAGGTTGCCTAGACGAATCTTGTTCTGCATTTTGTTCTTTCATTGCCATATCCATTTTTAAATTATGGGCCCTCAAATAATTTCTTACTACTTCAACAGATGTCCTTTTTGGTCTTCCCCTAGCTCTTCCTGACATTTCTACTTGTAACAAATGACTTCTTCTTGCTGGTACTGGTCTATAAATGGTCTTCTCTGAACATAGCCAAACCATTTTAATCCACTTTCACTCATTTTATCACCTTTGGAGCTACTCCTAGTTTCCTTTAAATATGTTCATTTCTGATCTTATTTTTTCTAGTTTTCCCATTCATTCATCATAACATTCACATTCCTGATTTTCTATCATACTCATTTTTTGGACATACTGTTTATTGATGTTGAGTTTTGGGCTGATATAACATATTTTTTATTTACATAGCATAGTTAGGGAGTTATTGGGCCTTAGGCCCATTATTTTATGTTTTAAGTTAAGAGTGTTTTTAAGTTCTCACAAGTAGCCGACTTACTAAGGGCATACTTGTCTTTGTACTCTCTTTTATTTATGAGTATATAATCTAATGAAAGGGGTGGCTAGACCTAATTTTGAGCTTCTTCCATTCTCTTCTATCTCTCATCTCTCTCTTTCTTAGCTGAAACCTTTTCTCCTTTTTCTTTTCTTCTTTCTTTTACAGTTTTTATATCAAAACAGGTTGTCCAAACCTTTCTACTTGGTATTAGAGCAAGTTTAAACATTTTTTGAGCTGATCCATCATGCAGCCCTAGATCGGCCGACTGCATAATAAGGTAAAGAGCTGATTGAAGACTTCGGTTAAGCCCATTTTTTGGATTTTTTGTTGGAATTGCAATCCCTTGTAGCTGGTCTAGGGTTTTACACCAAAATCAGGAAGAACTGGAGAAAAGGGGGAGAGTCTTGTTTTAGTAGGACTCTTCAATTTTGACCTAGGAAGTGGCGCTCTAGTTGTCTAGGCATAGTTTTCAAGGCGCCAAGGCGAGGCTAGGCGACAGGGGGCGCCTTGTCGCTTAGTCGCCTAGGCGACGGATTTTTTTTTCAAGTAGAACCATATATCCAAGAATAGTTTCCTAGGTTCCATAACCATCTTTCCTTAATAATTATTCATAATTTTCATAAGAGAAGTATAAATTTCATGTTTAAGTCTAGAAAATCAACATTTTATGAGAAGAAAAAGAACAAAGGAAAGAAAATTCAAAACATATAGGGGCATAACCCCTACTTTTGTTATAGGAAAGAAGAAAAGAAAAGGTGGAAGATGAAAATGTGTTGATTAGACAAAATTTTAAGTTCTTCCCTTGCTTATTGGTTCAGGTTTTGAAAATTTTGAGGATTCAATCAAGGATCAAAATTTTGATACGATATGCCCTGTATCGTGTGTATTGTATTATATCTTTGGGGTCTCGATACACCTGTTTACAAGTGTTTTCGGGGACCCATTTTTTTTTAAATAATATATATATATATATATATATATATATATATATATATATATATATATAAATGAAATTGAAAACCAAAGAAATAAAAAAAATAGGGGGAGCATCGTTACAAGTACTAATACACCTCTACCGATACACAAAGGTGTATTGATACTTTAAACAATGGGTTCAATACAGTAGTTAGCAATGTTTGCATTAATTAAACCCTAACAAATAAGAAAATAATAAAAAGAAATTAGTATATAAACACATAAAATGAATATTCTAGTTTAATAATGTCTATTTTATAATTATAATGACAAAAAATTAAAAATATAAAAGTATTTTATAACCCAGTGCACAAAACTGCTAGGTGAGCCTCCAAGGGCGCCTTGTCGCTTAGGCGCTCACCTAGGTGTCGCCTTGACAACTATGTTTCTAGGGTTCATTGAGTTTTTCTGAAGGGGGTGGTTCAAGTCCTAGCCTTTTTGGAGGTCTTTGGAGGGAGCGGCAACCTCTTCTCTCTCATCTTCCACTCCCACATAAAAAAGGAATCTTTGGAGGGAGGGGCTTCTAGGGTTTTAGGAGGGTGTTTGAGGTTTGTAAAGGAGATAAATACCTTCTTTTTCATCTCAAATTGATTTCCTAATCTACTCTGAGAATCATGGAGGGCTGTGGAGTTGAAAACAAATTTTCATGATAAATGAAATCCGGGGGAAGAGGTGCTGGAGACCTCTTCGGGGCCGGAACCATCACTATAGTCAAGTTGGATGGTACAAACTACTTAGAATGGTCACAATCTGCAAAGATGGCCATTGGTGCTCGTGGAAAATTGGGGTATGTCACCGGTGAGGAAAAGAACTTGAAAGTAACCATTCCCAATGGGTACAGGAGAACTAGATGGTGATGACTTGGTTGTATAATTCTATGTTGCCCCATATAAGAACTTTTTATGGGCTAACACAATTAAGGAGATTTGGGATGGAATAGTAGAAACTTATTCACATAATGAAAATGTTGCTAGAGCCTATCAGTTGAGAAAACAGGTGATTGCTACTAGGCAAGGAGATAAGTCTGTTGCTATTTATTTTTCAGCCCTAAAATCCTTATGGCAAGAGATAGATCATTTGGAGACTATGGTTTGGGAAAGTAGCAAAGATGCAACAACTTATTAGAAGTTGGTAGTAAAGAATAAGGTTTTTGAGTTTTTAGCTGGACTGAACCTTGAGTATGATATTGCACGACAACATATTCTTTCTCGAGACAGTGTAACTCTATCTCAGGCATATACCTTTGTGTTTGGAGAGGAGAGTAGAAGAAATGTGATGATGAGGAACCCAAGCCTTGAGCAATTAGCTATGGTTAGCACAATGAATCCTAAGTCGAGTGGGGACAAGGGTGGAAATGAACCGAGGAAGGAGGACAAAAGGGATTTGATTTGTGACTATTGTAAGAAACCCAAACATACTAGAGATACTTGATGGAAGCTTTACCAACACCTTGTACCGTGCTGGCTTAGAAATAAGAAGGGAAATGTGAATATGTCAGTGATTGGTGATTTGTTAGGGCCACCTACTACAACCTCTCTAGAATTTGTTGCAATAGCTGCAATGAGGGCCGAATTGGAGAGATATGGGCAGTTCCCGAATTAGAAGGGTATAACCAGTTCCAACTCATTATCAGGTGGACAATAAGGTGCAGGTGGATTAGGAGGTAGTCATTCTACCTCGTTTGCACACACAGGTAGTTCACATGCCACTACAAATTATGTATCCACTACAGGTAAAGGGGGACCTCCCTGGATTATAGACTCAGGAGCTTTCGAACATATGACCAACATTTCCACCATTTTCACCTCATACCACATTTGCTCTGGCAGAGATAGAGTTTCCACAATTGATGGATCACATGTTCCCATTGCTAGGAAAGGGTCTGTCAGGATAACTGATACCATTACCCTACCTTCTATCCTTCATGTTCCTAGACTGAGCACTAATCTTTTTATCTGTTAGTAGCTTGACAAAGAATTTCTCCTGGAATCAAAGAGGACGATTGTGAGTGGTCGCGAGGTGAATGGAATCTATCTTCATGATGTGCTTCCTAGTCATCAGAGTCATCATGTCAGCATGAGTATTGAGTTAGAGTCAGGGGGTTAGATTATGCTTTGGCATAATCGGTTAAGACATTTGTCTTTTGCTTCTTTGCGTTCTTTGTTTCCCAAATTGTTTGAGTCAGTCAATTTGTCCAGTTGGGAGTGTGAGGGATGTCAACTTGGAAAGCATTGTAGACATTCTTTTAAAGCAAGTAATAAAAGATGTTCTTCTGTTTTTGATATTGTTCATACTAATGTGTGGGGGCCATACTATGTTTCCTCTATGGATGGCTACCGGTATTTTCTTCTGTTTGTGGATGATTATTCTCGATACTCTTGGATATATTTGATGAGATCTGGTGATGAGTAGTCTTTGGTTCAATAATTCCATTAGGTGGTGTTGACACAGTTTGGGGTACGAGTGCAAGTGTTTAAATCAGACGATGCCAGAGAATACTTTGAAAAAACCTGTCATCATACCTATTGGAGCATGGAGTTATCCATCAGAGTAGTTGTACATACACTCCACAACAGAATGGTGTAACAAAAAGGAGAGCAGACATATTGTGGAAGTAGTAAGAAGCATGATGTTGAGCTCTACAGTTCCAGTTCATTTTTGGGGTGATGCAATTCTTACAGCAGTGTTCTTAATTAATCGGGTGCATTCTCGTGTTCTTGGATATAGCACTCCGTTCAGCCTTCTTTTTTCTGAGGGGGAGACATTCCATA